TTTCTTCTTATCCAACTACTTGGGTTTTTTAGTTGATAACATCATCTACAAGGAAGCCAACAAATAATCAACCGAAGACCTTGAAAAATCATAAATATCAAAACACAATAATTTGACCTAGAAGTTATTGGTTGATAATTGATGTTTCTAATACAATTAGGAATAGGAATCAATTTAAAGTCTGCACCCAAAAACCCGTCAATTGGAGTCTTGGATATATGCATAAAAGAGAAATTATTTCATTCATTGTTAGTAGAATTTTTAAATTTTACAAACAAAATTAATAAGACGATACATATCTTTTAAGGTATATTATAAAATAAAAAATTAATTAAAGAATAAGATGTGTATTGACCTCGTAACTTTATTTTTTAAATTAAAAATATACATTAATAATGTAAAAAACAAACTTTAAATATAAATATAAATATAAGAGGAGGGATCAATTTATACAGTATAATTTTTTTTTGTTTTACATTTTTTTAACCAACTCAACATATCGAAAAGATGAGATTAAACCTTTTTTCTTCTATTTTTGTTTGTTTCCCTCATCTTTTGAATCTATTTAAATTAATAATTAAAAAAGATTTATTTGTCCGGGATAATTGCATATCATTTTTCAACAATCAAATATGATTTGATCCAATTTTTGGTTGAGTTATTGATTTTAGCTTAATTATGTTTTTTAATTTAATATGTTCCAGGCTTATGTCATTTTTTACTGGGCCTATTTTTTGGGCTTTTTCTTTGGATTCTTCATAACTCAAATATGGACTTAATTTATGAATTTGGGTTAGATAAGTTTGAAGGCTAGAAATAAAATTAAGGCCAATGAGTAGCCTTTGTCTTCTTTCCCAAATACTGGGAAAAACAAATTTCTAATATAGAAAAGTCAAATAATACAAAAGGAAACTCTGAAACTTAAGCATGGCAGCAAGCTTTTGTCAATCCCAAAAATCCTTCTTTTCATACTGTTTTCTTTATTCCCAGCTATTTGATTTCATCCCCATACATACATGTATTTAATTTCATTTTATGATGGCATAAAAAATATTAGTACATTTTGCCATATATTATGAAAATGAGCTGAATGAAATGAAATTTTCTTTCTTTTATATTTGAGAAAAATATAAAATTATGAAGATAGAATACTATCATCCAATTAATACATTATTAGTTAAAAACAATAAAGATGTTTTTTATTTTTGTACAAAAAAAAATTGACCCTTTGCAGGCTATTAAAATGAAAAGTAAACAAGTTTATGAGATTTTCAATAGTTTCATGACAATGGCAAAGATGTGGCTAGTTAAACATCATATTAACATATGGGTTTAAATAATAATATTCGTTTGTGAAAGTCTTAAGCCTTAGAATCAGCCAATCAATGAGTTAACCAATGCAAATTTATCACAAATTTTTACATAAAATATGAGTAAACTCATATTATAATTGTTGTTTATACTATTTAATGAAAATGATTCTTTAGATTCATGTTTCATTATTTGCATTGATATGGTGATCTAGATATGAACATATTGATCACAAAATGACTGTGAAAGAATTTGGAATTAGAGTTAAATATACTATGAACTCTTATTATATATTGGCATATTGGTTCTATAAGTAAAGTTTGAATTTGTTATATATCTGAAAATATTATGACTAATTAAAAGTAGTAAATAACAAATATATATAGGCTGTACAATGGTGAAGAAATAAAGTTTTTAATAAAATTTTGAAACCAAATTTAAAGATTTCAATGGTCATAAACTTGGAATTGGCCATTGGACAATTAATATATGTGTTAAAACCTCATGATAACATTTGAGATAGTTGATTTTCACTAAAAGCCATCATTATAAATGAGATAATTTCAATAGTCAAATCTACTTGATTTGTAGGTATGATATGGATTATTATGGTTGGCTTAAAATAGCCATAAGTCAAAATTGATGCCACAATCTTAATCACGTTATGGTAATTTTTTGTTATGTATATGGTCTAATTCATGGATTGTACAAATGATTTATCATCTATAGTTTTATATAGTGAAAATTTTAAAGTATATTTACTTTGAAAGCCATGAGTGATTCAAAGATCTTATGAATTTGAAAACTTTTATAATAGCAAAAAAAATGCTATTTGATCCATTTGGGTGATAAAAATGATTTTGTTCATGGTAATAAAAAATTATTAATAGTGTCTATGATAAAATATATTCATGTAAATATTTATCAATTCACATAAAAAGTCTTTAAAACACTATACAAGCATGATTATATTTAAAATCTGCCTATTAATGTAAACTCTTATATTGAGTTAAAATATAAAAGTTGTGAAACTTTTATAGAAATCTTTCACTAAGAATGGATTTGGAGACTTCTTACTTAAAAAAAAATACCTTAATAGTGAAGAGATAAATGAAATGTTAACTTTGATTAAGTATATATGATATCTTGAACAATTGAATGAAATATTCTTTAATAAAAGAATGCATACTTGTACATGAAGAGGGTGATAAGAATAAAAAAAAATAAAAATTGACACTATAGTGTTATAATATTTTAGTATAATTTTATGAGCAAATTATACAAACTAATAAGTTTAGAAGCCTAAAGTAAAATCATAAAAAAGTCATTAAAAATCTTATAATAATTAAAATGGTTTAGTTTATTCATTGAGTTTATCCAATTGTACTAAAAGTATAGTTGTTTAAAAATGTATAAAAGTATGGAAATATAATGATTGAAATTAATGATAATAAAGTTGTGGCCACAACCAAAACCAACTATTTCTTAAAATGATAAGAATTAGGCAACAATGTCTGGAGCATATAAATGATATGTAAAATGAAAATTTTGGACATATTACCTGAAGTAATTATATTAGAGATTCAATCTCAAGTGAGAGTAATTACCATAAAAGAAAATTGAATTCCAAAATATTTAGTTAGTAGTACTACATGTAGAATAGATTTAAACCCTTACTATTAGACACCAATAATGAGAACCCAACTTTGAATTAGTAACATTTAATTACAAAGTTTAATGGGTAAAAACAAGTTATTGTTATATGTCTGTTAAGCACTAGTAAAATCTATTTGAATTTTAGAAATTAGTGTAATCCATTGTATGGGAAGGATGAGTTTTTATACTCTTAATGGAGTTTTAAATGTCTAAAGCAATAGAGTCATAATGGAAACTCTACCTATATAAATATAAAAGTAGTGTTGTTTCAACAAGAAGAATTAGGGTTTCTTTTGTAAATGTTTATTAATAGGATAAGCACATGATCATAATAGTGCTAAAAGCAGTTATAAGCCTCTGACAGAAGAATAAATAAATATTATATGTATTATATCTTTAATTCTAACATTAGGAGTTAAGGTTTAATCTACGGATACCATCAACTTCGTTAGAATTCTAAGATATATACGCTAATTAAAAGTTTAAATCAAGAGATACATTCTTGTATTTATAATATTTATTTATGTAAAAGGTAAAAATCAAGCACCAACATTCCAAATAGTGGAGGATTATTGATAGTTTAGAATGTGGTGCATTTCACATTAGATAGAAAGATTTAATTATTGATGAATAAAATTAATTTTTGTATTAACTTTATTCATATTTAAATAATTATATTTAAACAGAAATAATTGTCATATGACAAATGATAATAACTGTTTGAATATAAATAAATAATTATTCATAAAGGTCATAATTATACAAAAAGTCATAATCATCTGAATAGAAATTTATATTCGATCATTCATTATAAGTAAAATCTTTCAGTATAACAATTTTTATTGCTTCTGATTGAAAAGTTTGAGACTTTGTTATATCCTAAAGCCATAATTACCTTTAAAAAAAATATTATTCATGCCTCAAAGCCAAATTTTTTTTTATTATTTCTTTTCTCTTATTTATTTTTTCTAACACCCTCATCAGCACTTAATTTGCTTGCACCAATCTCTAGCCACCCATCGAACCGTCACCAAGAAGATCTCATCCCCTCTTAACATGAAAACCAAAAATTTTTTCAAACAAAAAATTAGTTAATTACAATAAAAAAATAAAGCTTTGATGGCTTTTTTAATTATAATTCATAAGTTTTTTATATTTAGGTTAATTTTTTTATCACTTTTTATCTTACCGATGTTCTTTATTGTATCTAAAACAAATGATTATGATACATCAGAATATTTAGATCAATAATAAACATGTTGATTTTTTATGAGTTAATCACATGAATAAAATATTTAATTTAATATTTAAATTTTAAAATATTTAATTTATTATTTAAATTATAAATTTATTAATTAATATAATATTTAAAAAATTTGTGTCATTATTTAAAGTTAATCATTTTGAAAATAAATATTATTTTAATTAATAAATTTATAATTCAAATATCATAATAAAAATTTTTAAAATTTCAATTTCATATTAAATATTTTATTATAATTTAAAATTATTCATGATATTAATATATTTTTTATTTAAAAAATCAGCTTCGAATTTCTTTTGATAAAAAATGCAATTACTTATGGGCGCTCACAAGTCACAATAATGTTAGCTCTGGTCCAAATTCTTTTACCTCCTTGTTAATAAAATTAGGCCGAGAATCGGGTGAATCCAGCCCAAACCCGTACACATATTCACTTACCTGTAAATTTTACTTAAAAATTTAAATGCTGGTAAATAGAAAAATTTTCATTGCCGATCTAACTTTTTTTCCCGCTGCCGAGTTGATCAATCAAACGGCCAGAACTTAAAGATCATCTTCTTCACTAAATCCTAACCCTCTCTCGCAGAGAAGGACCCACCACTTTACCAGTATTCCAAATTTCAAAATTTAAAAAGCCGAATAAATCATTGCGTTAAGAAAAAAATTTTTTTAAATAAGGATTCCCCTGTGGACCCCACACTCCGCGCTTTTAATGCATCTTAGAAACGGCAGCGTTTCAACTCTTTCGATAGAGATGTTTTCAAAATTGGATTAAAGAGTAACGACCCAATAGGAATCAACAAACTGGCTGTTATTCGTCGGACACGGCAGACGTTTTATTTTTCCTTTTTCGTAATTCAAATCCAAAAACAAGGGCAATAACGTCCTTTCATTTCCCTTTCAGTTTGCCTCCTCTCTTAGCTCCGTTCTCCTCTGTAAAAGACCGCCCATGGGAAGATCATCAACTCCCAAATCGCCATGGGAGATTCGGATGTAAGTTACGAAAATACCCCTTCCATTCGGCTCTTTTTTCTTTTACTATTTTAATTCTTTGTTTTTTGAAATGTGATTCTTTTTTTTTTTGGTGTAGAAAACGGTGGCGTTGAAGCTGGCGTACGCGCAGATAATACTGAACACAGCCAAGGAAGCAGCGGCGAGAGTGATGGTGTCGGAGAAAAAAGCGGCGTCGTTTCAGCATCAACTGAATTGCTCCAAGGAGGAGTCGCTTGGTGTGCTTCTTCGCTTGAAACACATGATCGATGCCAAGGTACATTCCTCTTTTGTCTCTTTTAGTTTTTAAAAAATTTCTATAGAAATACTAAAATAGCGTTCTGAGATTTGATTTTTAGTTTGAATATAATTTTCTTTCAATTTATAGATTTTTGAATATTCCATGAATTATTTGAATGTGACCAAAGTAAAATCGATTGGGATGAACATTATATTTGTTTGAATCTTTTGTAAATGTGATTCATTTAGAGATCAAGTTTTTGAATATTGATGTTTTATTGACTCTTATTGAAGCAGTGAACTTTAAATTTCTTTTTTTGTTATTTATGAATGACGTTATATTTATTTTTTTTCTATTAATTAGCTGAATTTGATTTTTCTGACCAAAATCTGAATTTCCAGTTGGATATATGTGATATATTTAATCATTAGATGGTGTTGGAACTCTTTGAAATCACACTAGGGATGTACTTCTCAATTGATTGGGTTACTTGATGAACCTTTTCACCTCAATAAGGGTTCATTTGGCAGCATGGTGGCAGGGACTCCCACCGCGCCACATCTGTGTTTTAGGGTTCCAGTTATAAAGTAATATCATGGGGCGGTGGGAGTGCCTCCCACCATGCTATCAAATGAACCCTAAGTTACAGATTTGTGCTATCAAATCATGTCATGCTGTCAAATGAATATTTTTTGTAGTCACAGAAGCTAGAATTCATCTATGGATATACCTTTTATCCTATATGTTTCAGCCTAAATAAAGTTTTTTCATTCTGCTACTGTGGAAGCACTGACATAAGTTTTTCTTGTTGCATTCAAACATTCACTCAGTATAAAGATGCTGGCGGGTAAGCCTGCCTATATCCTAGTTGTTACTCGTTAGTTAATGGATGCTATACACAACAATCCTATGTTCCAAGTAACTTAGGATCAAGTCCTCGACATGAATATTGGATTTGTCTTTTTAAACAAAGCTAGAGAGTAAAATCAGGGAAATTAGTGTTTGCAAAGAACTTGGAATTTCACTCTACCATTTTGGTTTATTTCTCATTTCTTTTGGGAAATAAATACACCACTCTCAAATGCTTGCATTTTTACAGACAATTGAAGCAGAGACAACATCCTTCTATCAGAAGAGAAAGATTGATGAGCTTGAAGCACAGCTCCATGAAGCAGAGGATATCATAACAGATCTTAGAGTTGAATTAAATTGTCTAGAAGATAAGCTGGAGAGAGCAAAGAACACTGAAGTGAAGCCTTTAAATGGACAAACCCCTAGTGAGGATGCATCTTCTCTTCAAGATCCAACGCTCGAGCCCACTGTACAATCTCCATTAAATTCAGCCTCAGGATATTTGACTGTTGCAGAATCTGACATGAGGAACTATTTATTGAATCAGGGATATTCCCATAGTAGATGCTGCAATTCTGCAAAGCAAATTGATCAACCTAATGTTTCTCATGTTGAGAGTTATTGTTCTCATAACTCTGACTTGGCCACTGTACTTATGGCAAACAAGAAGCCAGAGCTGTACAGAAATGGTTGTACACAGAGAATTAGTGCTCTTCAAAGAAACTTTCTGGATGGTAAATTGACTCCTGGAGGTCTGGATGGTCAACATTCTCTCTTGAGGAAACAGTTTAGCATGGAAACAAGCGCTGAAGATGAAAGACAATATACAGGATACTCTCCTAAAATAAAGAACTTGAAGACAATGGTCTTTTCTGGAGAAACAAAAAAATCTGTCAAAGTCTGCACAATAAGGAGGAAGAGAAAGACTCGATTTAGTAGAATCAAAGCTGGATCACGTAGATTTCGTCCTAGTCAGCACATGACACGTCAATCATCTTCTGTCCTTTCCAGTTGCAGAAACTATATAATCAACAGAAATGTTAAATCTTGTGCAGGTACTTGCACTGTATACTCTATTGGTAATATGGATACAACAAAAAATTCTAGGGAATTGGAAGAAGAATTGCAGAACAAAAGCAGCTGCCATGAAGATGTTGTGGCCGGCTATAATGGAAAAAGAAATGGAAAAGTGAAAGGTAGCAATGATATTGCTACTTCATTCCAGTCTCTCCTGGATCATCTCACTGAGCCTTGTCAACCTTCATTGGCCCTTAGCTGTTCTAAGACTTCGAATTCAGTCTGCTTTAATGTTGAATCAAATGAAGATAAATTGAAAACAGCTGACACTGAGAATAAGATAAAGGCATTGGCCCGTTTGGATCCTGGGTTAGCACTTATTAAATGTAATGTGGATCCTTCATTAAGATCAAAAAATGTCACTGCAAGTGTCAAGGCACTTAATAATTCTAGATTTGCTCCAAGTGCTGCTGACAATGACATTAAATTGGGAGATGAGTCTGTTTTGGTCAGACAAGAAGTTAACTCTGGGAAGATTTCAACACTTCCATCTTCAGAAATGAGCTCCACTATGGTCAATGGTTCCATCGTGCATTCTGCCTTGGACGGTAGCAAAGCATCCAATGTAACTAAGGAATCTTCAACTAAGGTGGATAATGTGAATGATAGACGTTTTAAATACACCTTCCAGAGGAAACGCAAGAAGGAATCCCTTTGCGACCAGGATGTAAAGACATCTGAAGAGAGCAATTTAAAGAGGAGGGCTGGGGAGAAAGAAAATAGGTTACAAGAAACTGCTAACTGTAACTTGGTTAATGAAACTTCTAGGGACAGTTGACGACTGGCTCAGGTTGCTCGTCAGGTTGGTTTCCTTTTCTCCATATAACATTTTTACTCATTGTGCTTTTTAAATCAAGTCATCTTGCTATGATTTCATATCTGTGTTAATGGCTTCAATAAATGCATTGACTTGAGATTGTAGAACTTACAAGATCCACCTCGTGACATGGCTATCATAATTGTATTTGTTCTACTAGGTTTGTTTCGCCCCTTTCGCTGTCGAAGATGTAACCTGATGAGTGTCTTTCTGTTCTTTCATGCAGCTCATTTCTCTGTCAGGCAAAAGATGGTGGTAATTGAGGTTAATTTCACATTAATCTAACCAAAGGAATGCTTGACAGGTGATGGGTGATTCTTGATGTATGCTTTTCCAATGAAAGGGGAGTAAACGGCTACCGCTGTTGATTATAGAGAGATCGAATTGGTAATCTTCACCATTTATACAAGTCTTTCAAATAATTGTTACATTTTTTTAGAACAATATTGTTGTCGAACCTAACTTCTCTGGCATTCCCTTCCATTTAATCTTAACAAAAATATTATTGAATAGTTTGTCAAAATGGCCAAAATCTCAAAAAGTAATGGAGTAGCCATTGTTCCCATTCTTTTCCTATGCATTCTCCATTTGTAGATTATTCAAATGCTGCCTAAATCAATCAACAAAGAATAAATAAATGAACAAGACAGCTATTATATTAGAAAAAGTTTAAAAAAATGAAGGTGAATTTTACCATATCGTTATGGGTTTAATTTCATTGAATTTTGTCATTATATTTTCAATTTCGTTGGTTATTGGATAAAAAGTAATGGAGGTGAACTATTTTACATAATAATTTATTAATGTAAATGAAATTTTATTATTTAATTTTTCGATAAATAATAATGAAATTAGAATATTTAATCTAATACTTTTTTAATAAAAATGATAGATTTCTATCATTTTAATCATCAAAAAAATTTAAATTTTAATTAAATTGAAAATATAAATGTAGAATGACAAAATTCAATGAAATTGAAGTATAATGATAAAATTTAATATTGACTCATAATTCAGTAACAAATAAAAAAAAAAAAAAAAACTTATGATGCTAACTAAATGAAGTTAAAAATTACAAAAATAAAGTTTATGAAAAGACAAAAACAAGTAACAGCTTTTGGAGTTTTTCTTTTCGCTTTTAACATTCTCTTTTCCATAGGAAATATTCTCTTCCTCTATTATACAAGACAAACAAAAAGTATATTTTAGAATTTCAAAAAAAAAAAAAAAAAGCAGCCAAAGTTGAGAATCAACAGACCCTTTTCAAAAAAAATTAATGAAAATTTTGTTGTTTTATTGAGAAATGGGACATGTGGATCCCGTAATCTAAAATATAATACGATAACATAATATGAATATGATATGAATATAAAATATAAATGTGAGATAATTTAAAATTTTAACAATAATTATATTTAAATTTAATAAAATAAAAAAATTATTTTATATTTTTATGTCAATATAAATTATTACATATAATTTTCATATAAAATATGATATAAATATATAAATTTTAATATTTTATATGATATAAATATATGAATCTTCAAATTTACGTACGGATCATTTTTCTGTAACATGATTTTAAAAAGCAAGCGTGCTTGAGGACCTTCACGTTTCCAATCCATTGTTACTGTCATAAACCGGCAAAATCTCTGCTCCCCATTTCTCCTTTCCAATCTCTGTCTTTGGCAAAAAAAGGCGTGCGGGGCTCAAAGCCTTTTTGAAAAATTGAAATGCATTAGCATTACCGCATTTACCAACTTTTTTTTTTAACCCATGATTGGTATGTTCTTTACTTTAGCATTTCATCAATTACATCAACAATCATGCTTGCCATTTCTCTACTTCTTTGTAGACAATATCCATCATTGAGGCCATTGAACAACATATAACTTTATGACATTCTCAGTTCTTAATCTGTTCATGTCAAACTGATCTTTTAGTTTTTGATAATTTTATGATTTTAAAGAAAAATTTTAGTATCAGATATAGATGTGTATCCGGCACGAACAGATTTTTTATATTTACAAAGTTGGGTATCTATTCCTAGGTTTCTCTTGCATGTCAACATGGGTATTTAAAAAAAATGAACCTAAACAACATGGGATAGTGGAATGTTTCACAACTTCATTGATACGGACCCCAATGAAAGCTGCAGGGAAAAATGGTTTTAGGCCCACTAGTCTGCACTCTGCACTCTGCACTCTGCACTCTGCACGCCAAGCCCTTACATACACAAACTTACATGACTAAATCCTAAGTTGGAGCAATCATAAGGTAACTTTATTGTTGCTGCATGTTTATATCATGTTTTCTTGTCTCCCCTTCTCACTGCACTCTCATTTCTTCACAGCCTTTTCCCATGTTTTGCCTCTGATTTTCACAGCTGATGGAGCCAGGGGTTCCCAGAGCTTCCCACTAGTGGCATTCTGGCAAATTAACCATACTTTCAAGGTGATTCTAGTTTTCCATTTTTATATATATCTCAATTTGTTCACCTTGAACATGTAAAGAGTTAAAAACCCAAGATTTTTGAAGCAAAAATATGGAGGAGAAGAAAGATTTTTACTACTGCCAAAGGGGAAATGGAAATGATCAGAATGTGAATACAGCTTTGTTTACAGCAGGCATAGTTCTTTTGATGGTGTGTTTGAAACGAGCTTCACTGTTGTTTCTTGCTGAACAATGGCGAGCTTGGGTGTTTCTTGTGTTAAACATTGTGCTTTTGGCCATTTTTTTCACTTCCATGAACCCAAATTCAAGCCAAATTAGTCATCAAGAAAGCAAGAAAAATGATGAAGAAATGAAGCAGAAAAGGGGAAATTGCAATGATGTTGAAGCATGCAACAAAGAGCTGATGCTAAACTCAAAGAAAAGAAGCAAAACTGAAGCTGATGAAGAAAAACCAGAAAATGATCAACTGCTGGTTGAAGAAGAAAACATTGAGCCTCCAAAGCTGTCAAAGGAGGAGCTGAATGAGAGAGTTGAAGCTTTCATTGCCATGTTTAGGCAGCATTTGGCTTTAGATGCAAGAAAAGGAAGAGATCACAAGTTTCATGCAGAGAGAAAACCAGCTGATATGAAGAAGCACATGACCCTTTCATCTGATGGAGTAAATTGTTTAGTTTTGAAAGTTCAAGGGTAATGTATTTCCTTTTTTTTTTTTTTTTTGGATCTTCTAATTTAGAATTTAAATTTTTATTTGATTCCCATTTTTCTTTTTGGTAATGAATGACCAATTTTCTATTATCCAAACAACTCTTCCAATTTCAGTTTTCCCCCATTTTTTTCAAGGTAAAAAAGTATAGTCAAATAACAATATGAAGGCCATTCTTTCTACTTTCACCTTCATCGTGAAATTAATCCAACATAGATCAAATCCTTCACAAATTTAATTTGTATTTTTTTTCTAAGAATGATTATGATTCCCTTTATTTTTCCTTAATATATTCCCTTTCACATTTTAATTTTTAATTATTGGAAATAAAAAAAAGAAAAGTTTTGAACTTGGGCTGAGAAGAGTGGACAATGGAGAAAGATTGGGGCCAATTCCTTTATCCCTTTAATTAGCCCACCAAGAAAACAAGCCCAATTGTTAGAATCTCTTGGGCCACATCCCTTTTTCCCTTTTTGAAAGTCTAAAATTTTGGAATTTTAAGGTATTCTATATGAAATTATGAAATTTATTCATTAATTAAAGGACCAATTAAAAAGATACAATTTAATGAATTAAATTAGAGGTTTTTTTTTCCTAATAATTCAATAGGTTTTGTGAAGAATTTTTTTGGGTATCAAAGAATTGAAGTCTAGGGTTTGAATTTCATGAACCAAACAGAGAATTAGGTAAAATTAATCAAAATCAATGCATGCAACCATCAAATAAAGTGAAAAAAAATTCAATGATATCAAAATGCCTAAACCCATAATCATATATTAGACTAAATTGAACATTTGATTAATCAAATTGTTCAATTCTCAAAATTTAATCAGTCCATGAAAGTTCAAAAGCTTCAAATTTCTTTAAAATTTTCTCGATAATGGATAACTCAATAATATACTCACATTTATCTTAATATTATTATAATTGCATTGAATTTCCATGAATGAAACAATATTTTTGTCTTTTAATTACTTTTTTTTGGGTCACAAAAATTTAAGAACAAAAAAAAATTATCTCATATTCAAAATCAGGACAAATTGTCAATCCATAAAAAAAAAAATTTATGAATTTTTAAAATTTTTTAAATTTATAAATAGATTACTAATAAAGAATCGTAAGAATTCGAATATGAATATTTTACATTCAAACTTTAATCTTTAATCATTTACGTTAATTCTGATTAGTTTATCTTTTAATTACTTAAATAGTTTTTTTTTTTAAAAAAAAGACATAGGTCCTCCAATAGATTAGGGCAGGTCAAGGTTCACTGAGATAGACAGATATCTACAAACAGCCGACCTCATTTGCTTCTTGTTAGAATGTCGCAACCTATGAAAGCTATGGCTCTGTCCCACTCTCTTTCCATGCCCTAATTCTTAGTATATTTCTTCCAAAATTTAAATCAAATCCTTCCCTACATCTATTAAATATATACCTTCCCTTCTCTCAAATGTTAAATACTATCTACACTTTTGCATGGTTGTTGAAGAATATATTAATTAAAATGATGATTAAATACTATATAGTACTATTTTTTTTTATCCCAAGATTGATACGAGTGTTACATCCATTTTTTTTATATGATATTGGTTGTTCCCAAATTAATTTATTTAGATTTAATATTTTCTTCGATCGATTTTAAAATTTTATTTATTTAATATTTTTCTCATAATATTTTTCACAAAAATTTAATGTACATAAGAATTGATTCTGATGAAAAAAAAATTCTTTTATCTGATCATTTTCAACCATTGATTATTGATTAACGAATTAATACTTTTAAATTAGTTCCATTTATTTAGTTTCTATCATTGTGAGTTTCAAATAATAAGTTTTTTATGAATGAAAATTTTAATTCAATTAATTCATATAATCATTTAAAAAAAATCTAACAAATTTAACATTCAAATTTCGGTACATGTAATTCCTTTATCTTCGATTTTTTATTAAAAAAATCTTAAATTAAATGAGATGGAAAGGTTCAATGCCCCAATGCAGGGACTGAAAAAAGTAAATGCAGGAAAAATATGGAAGGAAAAAACTAGTGGACCTTGATAGTTGATAGTTGCTTTCCGGGACCTGGTGCATGTGAGCAACTGTATCACATATGAGAGCAAATTTCCTTTTGATGGCACCACATGTGACTGGGATGATCCTTGAAACCCCTTGGATAGGAAAACACATAAATATTTTTGAGTTACATAATAAAAAGTAATCTCATAGATTTCCCCTTTCCTCTCCAAATTTGAAATCTTTAAAATAAAATTTCAAAATTTAACCATTGAATATTACATGCAAAAGACATATGATAAGTGTTACAATTGACTATATATATATATATGTAAATTTTGGATGGATAAAAATTTTTTATTTTAGAATCAAAATAACGATCAAAACTTATATTAGATTTATATTTATAAACCGTCCATAAAAAAAAATTATAGATAACAAAACTCGAATTTAAACCTCACAAATGAAATATTCGAAAATTATTAACTCGATCAATCTATTTGGCCAAGTGATTTTTTTTTTTTTTGTTAATTAGAAAAGAAAGAATCTATGACTCAAAGAATTCAGTGAGACAGTAGCTAAAAAAAGAAATGGAAGATTAATGTAAATAATTTCCAATGAATTACTTGACCAATACCAGTATAAATTAAAAGCAATGAAACGACAAAAAAAAAAAAGTGGGTCATTCAGGACTGAGGAGTCTGAAAGGGTGGGGTGTGACAAAAACCATGATTTTATGTTGACAAAAACCATGAAATAAGCCAATCAAACCACACAAGTGGTTGGTGTAGTCTTAACTGATATGGGCCAACATGGCATTTTGGACTGATTTTTGAGTGACACTCAGTTCTTGTGGTTGGGGCCAGCAACTTCCAATGTGGCCATCAATTGGACGATTGAAGAACCAAGATATAAAGTAAAAAAAAAAAAAAAAAATCTAAATGAATAAATTTAGGTTATTTATGGCCTAAATCAGTTTTCGCAATAATTGGTCAGCAGGAAAATGATTGAATCTGAAAAGAAAATAGCTCCATATCAGAGAAGATATCTGAAATTCAATTTGCATAAATGTAGAGAAGAATCTACTCCTTACTTTAACCAAAGCCAAGTATTAATGGTGATGAAACATCAATGCATTGACATCTTTTGTTTTTCTTTGTTCATGGGGGTCAATCAATCTTAAAAAGGACTTGCTCAGCTAAGCAAACCAAAAGAAATCACCTTTGGAACCTCTAAGATCATATTGCTTGTTATTGTATCATTTGAATGACATATGGGTAAGGATGTCAGCTCAATCTATCTTCGGCGACTTTTAATTCAATCCAAATCCAATTTTATAACATCATTTTTTTAAATCAATTTTGGATTAGGTAATAGTAAAAAACAAAAAAAAATTAGAGTTAAGTTTGAAACAAATCCATCTTAACCCAATCAAATATATATATAAAAATTATTTTTAATTATTTTATTTAATTATATTTTTTATATTTATTTAATTTTATATTTACATTAAAAATATTATTTTATTAATTTTAAAAAATATTTTATATTTAAAAAATATTATTTTATTAATTTCAATTTGGGCTGGATACGATTTTATATAATATTTAGTAAGGTCATATTCGAATTTAAAAAATAAAAAATTTATCAAATCGGATTTGAATATTATGAATATAAAATTGAATCTGATTTAAGAGAAATAAAAACTTATTATGTCTTGATCAGTTATTATCCTTATATTGAGATAAAATTTTTATTTTATTAAGAAATTATAGGATTAAATTGTTAAAATTTTAATTTTAAAACTATGATGCAAAATTTTTTTCCACCTTTCAACTGATTATCGAAATAAAATTTGTTAATCTTGAAAGTCATTTATGATGCATAATGAAATTAATAAATTAAACTTTCAAATGCAAAACTGACAGGTTGACTTGAAATAGAAATACGCATGAGTATTTAATATATTTTAGTAAAATTTACGTAGGAAACCTGCATTTGGGTGTTGTCAAATTGCTTGAAAAAGGTTCTTAATAGGTGTACCGCTACTCTATATCATAGATTGTTAAATGAACTTGTCACATAACAATTATACACAAGACATACGTGACCAGCACCATCACTTAACAGCTATAGCAATTAATCAAACAGAAAAAATTTTCTCTTTCTTATTTGATAGAAGCATGTGAGGTCCATATCTTGTTTTTTTTTTTTTTTTCTTTTGGTCCTTGAAATTCAGGAAATAATTCAATTGTATATCCAATGACAGGAAATTTCTTCCCCTCATCTTTCCAAACCTTGACTTTTCAATGTAGTTTTCTTTTTTATGTCCCTCTCTCATATACTTCAATCTCTTGGGATTATCGCTTGAATTATATATGTAATGTACTCTAAGCTTCGTGGGTTTATTTCCTTGTTTTAAACTTCTTTCAACCTCATCTATTGCTGCCAGGCGATGAACACAACGATATCCAATAGGGAAAACTACATTTCTATAGTTTTCTTATAGAGATCGATGAAACCTGGAAACCTGACAAAGAAGAAACAGGAAGAAAGTAATTGGAGAAGTTGCACTAATTTATAATTGCCATTATCCTTCCATTTTCTTTCTTTTTTTTTTTTTTTTTTTTCTTTTTGGGTATGGACTTGATTTTATTTAGGAGTTATAATGGATGACAAGAACCCCAAGTCACGTTCTGGGAGATTTCGGCAATGGTTCAGAAGTAAGCACAGTCACAAGCACAAGCAGCCTGATCCTCATTACTTCCTGGATGAACTTTTAGGTTTTTAAGTTTCTTAATTTCTCCTTTTTCATAATTGGTTTTGCTTCTTTTTTATGTGAGTTTTCGATTGGTTTTGACCGCTTGATATTTTCTTGCAGATGGAGCTGAAGATGAAGGTGATGATTTCATGGAAGATGTTTACGTTAGTCCTTTTGAGATGGATCCATGCACATCAACCAATGAGTTAAGGTGAGTTTTACAGGTTTAAATGGTTAAGGAAAAAAGGGGTTGAAGATCGATTACTTACTAACCATTCCCCCATGTTTCAGGATTTTTGTGGGAACTTGGAATGTTGCTGGAAGATCTCCTGAAGGAAGTTTAGCTGTTGATTTAGATGAGTGGCTAAAACCCCAGGATGTTGCTGCTGATATATATGTTCTCGGGTATGTAACAATTGAAAATTTATGTATTAATGCTATATATAGTTTCTATTATAATCAAAAGAAAGAGCAAATTGAAATTTAGAACATTTCAACCTGCAGATTTCAAGAGATTGTACCATTGATAACTCGAACCGTAATCGGAGCAGAAGATCCGACTGAAGCAACAAACTGGAACCTGCTAATAGGAAAAACACTAAACGAAAACTTTGGTTGCCCATGGTTGACACCCATGTTGAATCCAATCTCGAGTGACAACTACCATTATGTAAAAATCCCTGGTTCTGAAAGAAGAGCAAGTTTTAGTGGCATAACTAGTACTCAACGCCATCAGCGACCATACATTAATGGGGGCAGCAAGTACAAGCTAATGGCAAGCAAGAAAATGGTAGGAGTCTTTATAAGTGTGTGGATGAAGAAGGAATTGCTCTACAAATACTGCGTTTCAAATGTGAAAGTCAGTTCAGTGGCTTGTGGAATCATGGGTTATTTGGGAAACAAAGGTTCAGTTTCTGTTCGAATGTCAATCGAAGGGACCAGCTTTTGCTTCATTGCTGCTCATTTGGCTTCCGGTGAGAAGAATGGTGACGGAGGTAGAAGGAATCGTCAAGTTTCTGAGATTTTTAAGCGAACTTGTTTTCCTCGATCAGCCAAAGACGACGACAATCCTCATCCTCTCACCATCTTAGGACACGAGTAAGTTGATTCTTCTTCAAGACAAACAAAAAGGATGAATGAGATTGGTCCCCAAACGATACCTAGATTAACCAAATTTTCAACCACATGTTAAATGTCCTCTAAAAATGCCAATGATATTCTTCCCTATCCTATATCACATCCTTGGACATGAATTTTCTTCACTTTTTCACTGAAAAAAAAAAAAGAGATTTTGACCTATGGAGGAGGCTTGTAAGATATAGCAATTAGTAATCTAAATCTTTAAGCGATCAAAACTATTCTAAATTCGAACAAAAAAAATTTTATTCAACCATAATTAGATTTAATAATTCATGTATCCAACATGTCTATGTAAAACACAAATATTTTCTATCATATATATTTTTTTATTTTTGTCAAACTTATACGGTTATTATAATTTTATTTTTTTTATATTATTTAATGTCACACCATGTTTAAAAGTTATCAGCTCTAGTCACAATAATGAACAATTAATAATAATGTTTTGATATCATCATTGATAGCAAAAATCCAATTTTTTACATGATTTGACAACCTTGCAGTCTTTAGAAATTTTCTACCAGTCTGTTCTTAATTGGTCCTACACCCAACAAATTCCAAATTTGAAGATCACTTCAATGAGCATTTAATTTGACATTTTAAATTTATAATGGTCCATGCATGAATGATATGGTTTGTTTTCAACGAAATTTTGTCTAGTTTCAAAAAAGTTTATCAATTACACTTTGGCTCAAAATGAAAAAAGTTTATGCAAATCAGTTGCATGAAAAATCCAACTTCATTAAATAAAATTGTATCATTTTTGTGTAACAGTCGAATATTCTGGTTCGGGGATCTCAACTATAGGTTAGACTTGGAAGACAATTTAGCTAGGGATCTGATAAAGAAACAAGACTGGAAAGCACTGCAGGAATTTGATCAGCTTCGAAAGGAACAAGAAGATGGAGTGTTCCAAGGTTGGAGAGAGGGGAATATCGAATTCGCTCCAACATATAAGTATTCTTCCTTGAATTGCAACCGATACTCGGGCGGTTTTCCCTACAGATCAGGAGAGAAACAAAGGACACCAGCATGGTAAAGATTTTGCAGTCAATTAGGCACATATATAGACACTATATATAAGACCTGAATGTATGACAAATTTATGTGTCTGGTTGCAGGTGTGATAGAATTCTGTGGTATGGGAAAGGAGTGAAACTTTTATCCTACTTTCGCAGTGAAAGTAAGTTTTCTGATCATCGGCCTGTCTCTGCCCTATTCTCGACACAGATAGAAGTCATGAAATCCATGAATCCAAGATTGGAAGTCATGAAATCCACCAATGCAAGATTTTTTGACCAGGACAACATTAATCCTAACATTATGCCTCCAGAACAGATTGTAAGTTCTCATTCTTACCATAGCATTACAGGGGGACTGTGTATAACCATGGTGTGATAAACTGTACCTTCATTACAGGGGACGAGCAGTAATGATGAAGAGGGCAAACCTACATTGCTATCTTTGATTATAAAGGATACTGAAGCATCTTCACAACACATGCAAAAACTGTAGATAAACCTTACCAGAGCGGATTCAACTGATCTTCAGCTAAATTATTTCACTGCAGGTTGGCTTTGAGGAGGCACGATGAGTTCATAATCTTCTTTTTCTCTTACTTTTCTTTGGACAGGATTATATGACTTGGTTATGAATTAGATCCACAGATGAAAACGAGTGTTAATAATTCAATAAATGTAATATAAAAACTTATCATGAATTGAACATTGAGTAAGAACTGAGATACATCAAACCTCTTATTGAGTAGGATAAGAGATTTTTGAAAGAGAATATTAAAGGTTTGAGCATTTTAATTCTTTTCAAATTTTGTCAACAAGAAGCTGAAATAGTTATATATGAAATTTTGGCAAGAAAAAATGAGTTCAAAGAATGGCATTTTCTTTTGCACCTTGTGTGTTAATGAATCAGAGGTATTATGTCTTTATCCGTTGACTTTAGGGCACTAATCGTGGCCATACCATATGATCAAGTGCCATTAATGTATAGTCTGAAAAGTTCTTGCGCAAGTTATATTCAAAGACATCAATACGACGGATGCAATGTTAGCATGTAAAAGACTTACAACGGATCAATTTGCATCATTTCCCTGAAGAATTCCACCCAAGGACATATACACCTCTTCTGCAACTTCTCACTGAGGGAAGCACATATCTTTTCCTGTTCAGAAGTCTGCTTGTTTCCAGTCAAGGAGATATATTACAAGTACTAGTTTTCATTCCCAAAAGATGTTAGCTGGAGCAGCACCTCCAAGAAAAAAAAAGAAGCATAAAGTTATAGATTTGTGTAACAAATATAAAAGCTTACCATTATAAATGGAAGATCAAAATGTTTAACTAGAAGACACATAGTCATGAAGTAAGATGATTTATTTTAATTAAAAGTTAAGTAGAACAAATCTAATGCCCTTAATAAGATCAGTATAGGTGGGGAAAAAATGAAAAAGGGGAAACCCTTTAAGAAAGTCCAAAAAATTGGGAAGGGGGAAAGAAGGATGAATTTAAAGGCCACTACCTGCTGCATTGCCAACAGTATTCTTGTTCTGAAAACCAGAAGCAATTGTATCTTGGAATTTCCTGAGTAACAAGTAACATCTCATACATAAGTCATTTTAAAGGAGTAAGCAACAAGGGTGCATACCAAAATATATTAGAATCCTACACTCATGGCAAATCACATACCATCAAATATTGGTGCAAAGAATGAACAATTTAATAATAACAATCCTTTACATCCCCCAACTACTATTTTGCTATTAGGTTCTCCCTACCCTTGTTTTAAAGCTCCATTGATCTCTTTTCCATATCAGATGCTAAAATAAAACTATTTCATGAGGATATTGTATTTGCATTTATCTCAAACAAAAGAGGCACTTAACCACAAGTACATACTGGTCCATGGTAAGAAAGAAATACATTCAAAATTATTAATGTATATCGGTGAGAATGAAAAATCTGATAATCCATTCATCAAACAGCTAGATCACAGCTACTGCATATCTATGGAAAGAAGAATATAATAAGCTTATGAAAGGATTCAAATAATTTACACCAAACCTTATCTCAGAATTGAACTCAACCATTTGACTAATTAACAAGAAATAGAATCAGCAATTCTTCTTCATCTTTTAGAAATATAAAAAATTAAAAAAGGTGATTTCTTTACCTCGATGTTGCTTCTTTATTCTTTAAATAATTCATAAAAATTTTTCTAATAAATATTTAATTAAAGTAAAAAAACAAAAATTAATATTTAATTCAGATGCAATAAATCACAAAAACAAGGTTGTTTTTTTACCTTAAGCTCCTTTATTTCAGATCCAACAATGGATATTTCATCTTGAATCAGAGCAATACTGGCAAGCAAATAATTTGAAATAATAAAACATAAAGTTTTAAGATAAATTAGCGAAAAGTTTAAAAATAAATCGAAAAACAACGAACCTCTAGGGCTTGAATCGAAGCTTCGTTCAAAGCTAATTCAACTTCGAACGTTTAAGCTCTTGTTCAGTTGTTTCTTTCAAACGTTTCGCTTCTTCAATCTCAGAATTCGCTGCTTCAATCTATGATCGGAGCTCTTCGATTTGCTTCTTCAAGCCAACTACTTTCTCTATCAACTCCAAACATTTCAATAAAAAATTTCCCATTATTTTATAAAGAAAATGTAGGGAAAAAAAAAAAAGAAGAGAAGAAAGCTTTGATTCGACAGGAAACTTAAATTCTGTTCTCATTTCTTTGCTAGCATTTTCTCCCGAAACAAACAGAAACATATATGATATATGTAAAGGAAGCAATTACCTCCTTGAGATTTCTCAGAAGCGAAGGAGATGTTTTAGTGGATCAATTCCCGCCATTTTTGCTTTTGCTTTTGCTCCCTGTATTTCGTTAAAGAAATTTGAAGAGGTTTTGACAAGGAAAGCGAAGAAAATTATTTTTAATAAATAATTTAATAATTAATTGAAAATTAAAACTGGGCTTTTAAAGTTTACATCTGTGCTCTATGAGGTTGAACCTTGGGCTGAAATTAGGCCTAATGTGGGTGAAAATTACATTTAGCCCAATATATAAAAGGTTCATCTATTTTGGGCCTATGCCCGATTCTAAATATATAAATAAAATTTAATGTTAGTTCTATAAACTTTATATCTTTATAGACATTTAAAAAGCACCATATGCTAATAATAAAAAATAATTTTTTATTTTTATTATAAATTTTTATAGATCTGACAAATTTTGTATTTTTGTTGTGTCTGTTAAGTGTTAACACACTTAAAATACAAAAATTATTGAATTATAATTTGTGTCGACACATCAAAAATAAAATAACTTTTTATTTTTATTAAATTTATGCACGTGTTTTATTAAAATTTTAAAATATATCATTTTCATATATATATATATATTAATAAAAAAATTATTGAATTACAATTCGTGTCGACACATTAAAAATAAAATATTTTTTTATTTTTATTAAATTTACACATGTTTTTTACTAAAATTTTAAAACATATCATTTTTATATATATATATATATATTATAAGAAAAATCCGGAATTAGATAGACTGTTCAATCTCTCAAGTAAGGGGAAGATATGTTGTACCTGACAGCCTAAAACAAGTGGCTGCAGGTCGTGTAATTAAGATGACCCTAATAAATAACTACTGGCAGGACTCAAACTCAAAACTTTTTCATCGAAAAAGACAAACCTAATCGATTAAATTAATCAATTGTTAATATATATTTTTTCGTATTATATCACTATGTCTTATTTAAAATTATTATATTTATTTTCAATCATTCAATTAAATCATTGAACTTTTTTATTTATTTCAAATACTTTTACATAGTCGAAGGAATGAAAATTTAATTCATAATTTAGATCAATTAATTTATATAATTATTTTTAAAAATAATATCTAATAAATTTAAAATTCAAATTTTAACACTTATAATTATTTTTTTACCTTTAAGTTACATTTTTCTTTAAAAAAAATTAAAATTAGCAATTTACAAGAATTATATTCTTATTAACCTTTCTTTGGAAAGTATTCAAAGACGTGTTTGGTTCTTTTGGATATTCTTGGCTCCACTCATCCTATGGTATGCATTTTGTCACATAAGATGATGATATTCGTGTCTGTTTTCATTCAGTTTTTTTTTAATGTATAAATTTATGTTTGATACAATATAAAAATTATATATTATAAATATATCATAAGTCATCACATCATTAATTTATTTTAATATAATTAAATTTTTAATTTTTAATTTTTTTTTTACTTTTAAAGATATTAAAATTTTAAATTTTTTAATAATTAATTTATAGTGGTTTGACAATGATCATACATCAAATGTTAAGCCCTATATAATCATGAGTCTCCTCACGTTTTATTTGAGTTTAATTAAGGGATTTGAAAAGCATATTCCTAATTAATTGCATTTAAAATTTTTTAAAATGCTCTCAGATCAAATCTATATTGAAAAAGAAAATTTCTTTTCTTTATCAACTGAACTAATGATTGGAGAGGAAAAATCTATTACTCGTATTGCAATAGCTGGTGCAGACAACCTATATTGCTGCTGGTTTCGACAACATTGTCCATAATCAAGCATGCTTGAAAAGCACCCATATTCAAGCACAACACCTAAGTTGTATCCTCATCACACTCCTCGTAAGGCTAACTAAGCAAACATTTTCTGCAGTCTCATTATATTTTATGAAATAGATTTGATGATTCATATTATGTAAAATATTAAAATTTATATATACGTATAATATTTTATATGAAAATTATGTATCACAATTTGTATCGATATGAAAACATATATTATAATTTTTTATTTTGTTAAATTTATATATAAATATTATTATAATTTTAAATCGTATTATTTTTATATTTTATTTATATATCATATTTATATCGTATTTTAAATTGTCAGATTTATTATTAAAGCATTGATCAGTTTTCATCAGAAAAAAAATTGTTGTTGTTGGTGATCAAAATGGAATGAACTTGTTAGTCACATCCCTAAGAAATCAACTTCCATGTGACTTAGTTTCTTTTGCATTTTCAGTAATTTTTTTTTCCTCTTCCCTGATTTGAAAACTCGGTCCACCCGGAACACCTGGGAACCCGACAAACGCCACTTGGGAGTAGCTTTTTTTTTTTTTTTATTAAAACTTTGTGTCTTGATCAAACCTTTTGCTCTTTGTGGAGAAATTAATGAAAGAAAATGATGGGAGATGGTGACTTGTGTTGTTCTAGTGCAATATTCCACTGTATTGAGATATTTTTTTTTTCCTCTTTTTCATCAGTTTCTTCCATTCCAAACAGCCTGTTTTGATCATGGCATACCTCACCTGACATTTATCTATGTTTTGATTAGTGAAAACAATCTGATTTTTTTATAATTGGCAGACCATAAGGCATATAATATGGAGAAATCAAAACCCTTTTCGCTGTTAGATGAATACATTTATCATCTAGGATTGTACTTGCAATCTTTGAGTGTGTATAAATTAATCTTGTTTGTTTGGGATCAGTCATGTTCTTGGGTGAAGAAGATAAAAAGTGGAAAAAAGGAAGAAAAAAACAGGACAGGGAGAAAATATATATGCACAATTTCAATGGGGGGAAGAATAATCATGAGTCACTAGTGACAGTAAGAAGCAAAAGTGAAGACATTGCTTTTCCACTATTAAAGTACAATACACTGAATCCACCAACTTTATTGTGCTGAATGAGCAACACATTGTAATTTCAGCTCAATCAGGCAATCTTTTCTCATAAAGCTTCTGCATAACAAGTATATACTATCACCACCAACAAAATCATCAGCTTTTACGAATGAAATTTCATATTCTTGAGAATATATACTGTCTTTAGGCTGGATTTGAATTATAGGCCGCAACTATTCTGCAACAGATGAAAAGTTCAGTGGGAGTAAAACTACTGTCTACTGTCATTTTTGGAAACCAAGTACCTCTCTAAGCAATTGGAAGAAATACCATCTTTACTTCTTTTGCAGAATGGATTTCATTCCAAGGCAGAATCGATCACCAGGATCGTTCATTGCATTATTTTCCATATATTTAAGTCACCACTCACCATGGATACTTGAAATAGGCCTAAGCCTAATCACAAGTCAAAAACTGTCTGGTCTGATGTGAGGCTCTGACTGATGTTAACTAATTGATGATGGTGGAGGTTGGCAAAGTTTTCTATTATCCATCCAAATTTCTCCAATTTCCTTACTATGAATTGATAGTTAATACTTCATCAAATGGTGGTAATAGTATGAGCTGATATTTCTTGTTCTTCGCCATGAAACAGTGCGGCTATAGCAATAATTTGAGTACATCAAACCAGGGCAAGCACATAGATAGAGTCATCAGAATTATTGCTTAATATGATGATACGAGCTGGTATTTGTGCTGCAATTCTAGGTGGTCGCAGTCATCCCCTATTTTTTTGTTGGTACATAAGAAACCATAGCCCAAGAATGGAAGGAGTTATAGGTGCTGGGATTCGAACTCGAATCCTACTGAATGCTATCTCTAATTAAGGATGGTTACATAAGCAATATGAGCTAAACTTCGGGTTCGCCATCATCCATTATTTGATGTTTGATAATAGACACAAAATGGCAAAGTATTGAACATTTTTTGATCTTGCAAATCAGTAAAACAGGTTGCAAATGCTGCTGGATATTAAATGTTATGCAAGAGAAATGGCATAACTACGACAATTGTGGACCTGTTTTTAGCACTCCATGTAAACTTTGCTGATCTACCCATCACTTTCTGAGAAGTGCGAATGATGGAATCCGCTTCAATGTAATTCAGTTAAAGTGCTGGTAGGGGTCCCTTCCTGCTACCCAAAGAAAGGGACAAGACTAGACTTAGCCATTGAGAAGCATATCTAAAGCTCCACCACAGCTTTATCACAATTCCGAATCCGTAAGAACAGCTCCCTTAGCTTTTGGTAGAATCTTTTCCCATTTGCAGGAAAAACCAGCATTTCCATTCCCTACCATTCCCACCACCCTAAAACCAGCAGGAAATGAAATGCATAGCTTTCAAGATATCAATCACAACCACCATCTCCATTCCCCACCATCATTTCCACCACCACCAACAGTTTCTAAAACAACAAAAGAAGCTATAACTTACAAATAGTACTTTCACATTTCTGTCCATAATTCATGCAGACAATTTGACCTTGTCAGAAAAAAAATTTTCTTGGAGGAGCATGCCCCAATGACCCACCAAATAATGACTTCTCTTCTGGACTAAACCAAACCAATAAGATTCCCATGTAAGCCCTAAAGTCCAAAAATAAGACAAAGTTGGGCAGGTATTTATGCAATATAGTCCTTTAGAAATTTCATGAGGTCATCCATCATTCTCCAAGGAGGAAAATTTTAGCTTTTTTCCTTGGCAATTTGCCTTCCATTCTTTGGCCTTTGAGAGTTACAACCACTTTATAAAAGCACATTATGAAGGTGAATTTGATAAAGTGGTTGTTGCTTTTTTTTTTCATTAGAATGCATTTGCCTATTGGGATTCCTGACTAACACCAACCAAAATCAATCGCCATTACAAGACAACCTCAACCAAGATGTGCTAGAAAAAAGAGAGGAAAACGAATCAATCTGCTAATGATTTTTTACAAATAATGATGTCTTATTGACAAGAAATGAAAAACTGCAGCATTGTTCAAAAGGACTCCCATTCTCCAATGAAACAAATCTTGTATGCTTAAGTGTGTCTTTAAATCCAACAAAAGAGAAATCTTCACTACAAATTCAGGGAGCACAAAAATCCCCTCAAGTTATTTCAACAACGATTTCTCCTTATGTTGAGCTTAGACAACGGTAACAGGCTAACA